TTAAGAAAAACTTGAGAACCCCTTCAAATAGGATAGGCACCGATAATCTGATAAAGGTCAGAACAGGTTAACTTTACAGTATTTTGCAACACAGGGCACAAATGACAAAAAAAAGGTATTTCTTAACTGATTTGATAAACGGTTCCACTCTATTGTTGCACAATTTTTCCCATGAACAGCTGTCAAAAAAGTTTCATAAGATGATATTGAAATAAGTCAATGTTTGGTTAGACTTTGGCAAGATAATGCCATTACTGGCAGAGCAACTACCCTGAAAAAAATAATGCAACCATTTTTGGCATTTACTTAATCATATTTTGTTACTTTAACACAATTGTATCATATTAGCATGTTAGGACATAACTGAATATGACTAAGTAAATGCCAAAAGGGGTTGCAGTATATTTTTCAGTGTGCTGCAGTTTTCTTTTTCATTAAAAGGCAAGAATAGGCAACTATATTTTTCACTTCATCAGTAACAAGACAGCTCAAGGTGGTTTACATGAAAAGAACATGAGCAAGAAAAAATATACAGAAAAGAACATTGCAATGGCATAATAAAGGTAGGTAAGGTTAGGCCGCCAACTTTATCCAATAGTGTTCCTGTTGGAAGTTTTAAGTAGAACAGTCCAAAGTTACTCTAGACAAATAGAGATTTAAAGAAGTTTCACACTTTTACATTCGTTGAGGTGGTTTTTACAGATAATTGCTTCATAAGAACTATTTGTTTCTTCTCTGTGTTTGTTTTTAGTATTTAGTTTCTGGGTATTCAGAGCAGACTGGAGCCAGAAGACCTGAGAGATTTGGGAAGTTAATGAAAAGACACCAAATTAAATGTAATTCAGTTAAACTTGTTTCACTTTGATTCAGTTTAATTCAGTTCAGTTCCCTCTATTTATAAAGTGCCAATTGACAACACATGTCAGCTCCACTTTACGGGGACAATTCAATCAGCTCATACTGTCAGATTGGTTCATAGTTTTCCGTCTAAAGAAAACCAGCTGATTGCTTTAAGTTATGGATTTTGATATGCTTCTTCTGGATGAGTATGTGGCCACCGCAGATATTCGCTTGCTTTTTGTCTCGACTGCATCTGTCGTACCAAGCATGCATGTAGGCACAGTGGAGAGAAAAACTCCCTTTTAACAGAAGGAAACCTCAAGTGGAACTAGGCTCAGTGTGAGCGACCATCTGCCGAGGCCATCTGGGGTTCAAAGAGATAAAAGCAGACGTCAAGGAGGAACATACTGTAGAAGCACCGATCTATAAAAAGTTTTAATGTTGGAAAAAGTAATGGTAGACTTGTTCCATATGTGTCTCTTTCTAGAAAAGAAGCAGCTAAGCAGACAAGCTCTAAGCCAGTTTTCATGCCAAAACGAATTAAATAAGGCACATTCAATTGAAAGCTGAGCCCTCTGCTATGTCTACGAGGGAAACTGTCATGATTCTGACGCTGATGGGTGGCTTTTTCAGCTGACCCTGCTCACCTGTCTAACTGGCCCCGCAGCTGATTATCGCCGATCTGCTTCACCGGGTTCCCACAAGCGGCAGACTTTCTCCCCCCAGATTTCTCCTCTCCCTCTGGATTCGTACTGAACTCTCACCCACGTCAGTGACTTTTTTGTCTAGTCATGATCTGCTCGACATTCTTGTCACTGACCTGAGTTTCCTGTCTCTGCAGAGAATCTAGTAGTCCACCCAGAAGACAATCACTTAAGCTTTGAATAAAACTTGTTTTGTAAACTGTCCTGATTTTGTCTGCTTGAATATTGGGTCCAAGGTTCTGGGGTCATTACAGAAACAGGACTACACAATGGAAAACAGACCTATCATCTGTATTCAAAGGTTTTTCTGAAGTAGCCTATTTGATATTTTTTCCTCAGGATGGTGTCACAGACAAACAAGACCAGACTAGATGAAGAAAAAAACAAAGAAAACAAAAATGCTATTTATTTTGATGTTAAGTCATTTAGGTATTTATGGACTATGCAAGGTATTTTAGAGTCTATTCTCTGAAATACAGGAAGCCAATATAAGGTTGGCCAAACAAATGAAGGCCTTATTTCTTACTAAAACACTGCTGTTTATATGAAACAACAGTACAGATCAGCATAGTTCATGAAATCTGAATCAAATGTTCTCTGAGACACAAATGCAGTAAGAAATTAAAAATGATTTCTTTGACTCCTCTTTGTAATTGGTGAATGATTTCTAAGAAATAAAAGCTGAAATCCTGACAAATATGTGAAAGGTTATTGAGTAAGACCTTTGAAATCAGTTGGTTACACACAGCTGTTGCAGTTTAACCAAGTTTCCTAATCTGCTTGACCTGTCACAATTGTGAGAAGTTGTTTTTATTTGCAGAAGTTTTTGTCACTGTTCATTAGTACAGAAAATACACTTGTTATACACTCTTGATTAGTAAAAAAACAGTTAAAAAAAACAACAACGAAAAACCCCCAAACATTAGCATTTCATACAGTAACATCATGAATAGAGTGGAAGTAGAGTTTCAAATTACAAAAAGAAGAAATATTAGCAAATCGAAAAACTTGTGGGGCAAGTAGAAAAAATATAAATCAAGAAGATTCGTTATCTGATTAAAACTCTATGATAATAAAAAAAATGAAAAAGAGGACAGAGCGAGCAGTCCTAGTGTTCCTGTTGCTCATTTAAGAAGTTTTTTCTTAAGCTCTTTTGCAAGCTTTTGGGAACATTGATTTGCAGTGAGGATAATTTTCATAAAGGGCATCCACCGCCTCAAACTCACATCCATTTTCATAAACATTTGCCATCCTTTATCAATTTCAATTTGATTGAATACAGAGGCACAAGCAGGCTGCCCTCTAGGAAGCCTTACCACAGCACACTACCTCTGCACAAACCTCCACTTTTAACCTTAATTTATTACACCTTTTTTGAATAAAGTCCCTTTTGTCCTTTGTGATTTTTAATCACTTTTAACCTGATTATCTTTTGTTGTTCTGTATGTTGTTTTGCAATGGAAAGTATTTATTCTGTTTTATTTTAAAATACAGTGACAATAAAAGACTCTAGTTCTTATCCTGGGGATATTCAAAAAAGGCACTTTATTCTCCTAGAAGTCCTTTTTCAGACAGGCATAATGTAAACACCAGGATTGTCCTTTGGACTCCTATTACTCCAATAAGTAATAGGAGTGATTACTTATTGTTTATTAATTGATATGATTAGTGACTCAAGAAAGACAGTATCCAGGAATGTGTTTACTACACTAGGTTTGTCTTTTAGATCCTAGATATTATTCACCTGCAAAATATGCAAATAGCTTTAATTTGTTACCCAGTATGACAATTTTCTTCCAGTGTTTATTATACAGCAAGAAAAAAATCTGTTTTATTTAACATTACATGGTTTAGATTTTGCATTTTGTTTCTAGTTGGTGGCGTAAATGGATTGTGGTATGTTAAATTGAGCTATGCTTCAAGGCTGTTGACCAACACAGCGGTCACACAGCAACACAAATGGACACATTATATGCATGTCAGAAATTTGTGGTTTGTTATGCTAAGTACGTTTTTCAGGTTATGTTATCAACCAGATTTGCTCATCAGACAACAGTTTAAAACCTTTTCTACCATGAGGAAGTCGCATAACCTGAAGTTTCAGTTTGAGTAAGCAGGCCACTTTCCCTCTAAGTTCTTTGATGCCAGAAGCAAGAGTGTCCCTTCATACCCCCACCCCTGCACTGAGCCTGCACTTTTCCCGAAAAGCAACTCCACAGTTTTTCAATAGTCACTTATTTCTCACTTTAAATGTTCACACAAGCATTTTTAAAGACATAATCCAAAGAATATACAGTGTGTGAGGAATAGAATTACAAAAACCAACAACTTAAAATTGTGTGCAAATGTGATGGGTGCAAAACATAAAGCTGTACAATCAGAAGCAAACTAAAATGTCATGGTTCAGACAATAACTTTAAAGGCAACATCCAAAAATAATGAAAAAATTTTAATTTGAAAGTTAAACACCCTGAATATACTACAATAACCAAATGTTTTGAAAATGTCATGGGGGTGAAATACAAAATTAAAGCCATTGTAAAGTTGTGCAATCAAAGCAAAACTCAGAAATTTCTCACTTCTATTTTGGTCAATATTGTAAAACTTAGTAAATAGTAATAGTAAAACTTAAAAACGTAATATCACAATGTGCAATCAAAGTAATCTTAAACAACAGAGGATCAACAGATCTCACCTCAAGGAAAATAAAGGAAAGGAAAATAAGTTGTTCAAACAGTGTTCTAAACCCCCTCTAAATATTGTAGGCCCAGGCACTCTGATAAAGTTCAGAACAGGTTCATTTTAAATTTTATTTCCTACAGTATTTTACGTGACGCTTATCTTGCACATAATCAATGCAATTCAAACAAGGTATTTCCTAACTGATGAAATGATAGTTTCACAATAGTATTGCTGAGGTGAAGCAGTTGCATAATAGTTTAATCGTATGGCATTGCAGATGAGACATTGTTTTATTCAAGTGACTGTTTCATCATACTTTTTTGTTAAAAAGAAAGGATTTTAATCACATAACTATATATTCATGTAATTTAGGTAGAAAACTGTAATTTTTCTACCACTGTCGCTTTGTTTAAGAAACAACACCAGAATTTTTGTTTTTGTAAATCAATAAATATTCTGTTGTGCTCTGTAAACAACATTCTAGACAAAAAAAATTATTTTTTTCATCATCATCTCTTAAGCTGCAGTGATACTCATCCTTCATCATGTCTGCTACCCTCATACTCAACACTGTCCACGAAGGCTGTGCTGACTAACCCACATATCCATACTCTGAGGTCATGCATATCCTGAAGTAGGCAAATCCATGGTGTTCAAAGAGATGAAAGTCCCTACATGAAAATAAGAACTGGAAGAGCAGGACAGGTAGGAGGATGGTGGTTTCATCACAACAGCTGCTTATTGGTACTGAAGGAACACTCCCATAGCTCTGTGTATATAAAGAAATCTGTGGTGAAAAGTTGTATCAAAGCAGCAGTTTTTTAGAGGAACTTTGTGGTCTTATTAGCAAAGGTGAGAGAATTACTTCCAAACAATTTTGCAAAGTATAAATAAATATGATTTTTTTTCTATATGTAGCTTTCATGTCAAATGTTGTTTTTCCAATTATCTGTGATACAGTGACTTTTTCTCTTTACTTGTCTGTGAGCTATCAGGGAAAAAGACTAAATGTTTCACTGATGTTCTGGCAATTCATTATCACAACACTCCTTTAATGAGTTTTTCTTTCTTCTTTTTCTTTGTAGCAACAAGTGGAATCTATTTTGCAGAGAAAATATGTTGGACTATGAAGTGACCGTATTCACTGCCAACCGCGCCACTGCTTCAACCTTTAACAACGTGTTCATCAAACTGATTGGCTCAAGTGGAGAGAGTGAACGCAAGTGGCTCTGGAACTTCAAGGGAGCTTCAGCATTTGTCAGAGGAGCCGTAAGTCTGAAAGTTTCAGTTTAAATGTAGCAGCTGTTTTATCTGCCTGTCTTTAGAAGACTCACAAAATCAGTAGTAGAGGAACAGGGTATGTGTAAATGCTGAGGAGGTACTGCATCCTTTTATGCAACAAACTAGGAGAAGTACCTTACAGGGAGTTTCAAAAGTAATGTAGTGTAGTTTTTGTTTTACTATTGTTCAATCTACTGCCCCACATTTTAATACATTAAATTAGGATGAAGATACTGCATTAGAAAGCTATGCACTATTTTGAAGTGGATAGAAAATTATATGATTTAAAGCTATTGTAAAATTAATCAACATAAAACTGAGTTCTGCTTGAGTCATTACTCTCTAAACCCTCCTTTGCAGCAACTACGGGAATATGCTTCTTCTAGCTTTGGAAGTCTAAAGAGCGATTTACTGATCACAGTTTAGACTTCTTCTACTTTTGCAAAATATGTTTTTTTTGTCGGTTTCTGTTTTTTGGTTTATCAGGATGTTCAACATGTGCCTGTATCAAAACCATTTCATTTTAGTTTCAATTTGCTTTTGTTTCGGGTCCTTGTTTCAAAAACTCACCTGTTTCTACAGCCTGCCAGTCTGTATGCCCAGAATAGTACTTAGGGATATCAAATAAAAAAAAGGTGGAAAAAAGTGATGCAGGTTTAAGATTTTTATCTCTTATAAAAATAGAAAACACATCTATAATTCTCTTTTCACTTTCCTATAATGCATTTATTTTTACTTTCTAAAATACCAACAAAGTTCCATGATGTTTTTGCATCCCTATGAGACAAAATATGAAAAGGTTTAGGGCATGGTTTTACTTTTAAAAGCCCCTTTAAAATTCATTTTTATCTTCTTTCCTGAAATACATTGTATTTTTAAGCTTTTTGCAATAATTTTGCTGAAAAGGCATTTGGTTTTCTGTTGTCTTGTTATCACTTACTGTTTTTGCAATTTGTTTCACTGGCCGTAGGTGGCATGTTTTAAAGTTTCCTGTTGCACCTCCCTGGGAAAACTGGTTCTGATAGAGCTTGACAAGCAGCCTCTTTTGCTGTTCCCAGAAGATTCATGGTTCCCAGCAAAAGTAGAAATCAAATCCCCAGAGGGAGCTTGTTACACCTTCCCCATCTACCGCTGGATTAATGACAACAAGGTGCACCGCTTTAGAGAGGGAACAGGTTTGTCTGAAATTCTGTTAAAAGCTCAGTTCTATTGCAGAGGACACTTACAAACACATCACTACATGTTTTTCTGTCTCTCCTTTTAGCTCTGAAAGGGTTTGAAGATAAACATCATCTTGGCAGGAACAGCAGGGAGCAGGAGCTCAAGGAGCGTCAGGAGGACTATTGGTGAGACATCAAAGTGGCAAAAACACAAAAATTCCTCATCCCATTTTGAATAGTGCTTATTTACTTTGATTTATAAACGAAGGTTTGTTGTTAATTAAAATAATATTTTAATTAAAATGCTATTTTAATTAACAAAAAAGTTAATTTTATTATTGCATGATTTACCCATTTAATATGGAATAACACAACCAACTATTTGCAAATTTAGATTTTCAATTAAAAATAACACCCTATTTATCCTTAACAGTATTATGTAACTCACTGAAATGATATATGCTGTTAACTGACTAAAACAGGGGATTTCTAAATGAAATGTATGTACCGTAATATATTGCTTGAGAAGTGTTTCTTTGTTTGTTATTAGTTGTAAGCTTTAATCATACAAATGGAAAAAAGCAAATGCTTGAAATATATTACTCTGCCAAGTAAAAATCTATTGAGATTCAGTTTTTTTTGTCGGATTGTGTTTTTGATTAAATGCAAATGAACTGAGAATGGTGATATCAAGTTTTTATATATACCAGAATTTACAATTAAAAGATAAAATCAAATTTCCTATGTTTACTATAGTAAAACTTAATATAAACTCTGTTTGTCTCAGCTGGGATGTGTATTTGGAGGGAATTCCTCACTGCTTGAAGGCAGATGACCCGCTCTCTCTCCCTTATGAGGTCAGATTTTCCTTCACCAAGCAGACAGAGTTTCTTTTCACAGCAAAGGCAGGGTAAGGTCATAATATTCTCATGCATTTCTGCCATCAATCAATCGTTGCATATACAAACAATAACACTTAGCCTTTCTGATTTGTATTCACTAGACTGACAGAGCTGAAACTGAAGGGACTGGCAGAATGTAAAATGGGATGGACGGACCTCGATGCAATCAACAGGGTGTTCTGTTGCAAACAGACTGACATGTCAGGTACTGCCTCCTTAAACTAAAGCAAATAGCACTGAGCCTTAAATACTGCTGAGATAGGGATGTGTGTTTACTATTTGTTGGTAGCTGTTAAAAATCTATTTTACAAACAAAACAGTAATGGAGTGACATTGATTGTTAGTAGTGGTTTGGTTAATTAAGTTGTATAGTTCTTCCCTGAAGGAATGTTTTCACATTGATAGGACATTTGATGTTTAACAATGTCACACCAAATTCAAGATGGGGATAAAACTGCTTCCTCTTTCATAATGCTTCTATCCTCTATTTCTTGTTCTTAATTATTTAAAAAATATATAATCATTACTGAAATAGAAAAAAGGTAGTGGTGTGGTGGATAAAGTACTCAACAGTACTACTTGATTAAAAGTAGCTACTGAGACCCGTTGTCAAATCTTGCTCAACTACAAGTAAAAGTTACTCAGTTAAAAATCTACTCAAGTTTAATTCAATTCAGTTTATTTATATAGCACCAATTCACAACAAAGAAACCTCCAGCAGAACTATGCTCAATGTGAGAGGCCGACTGGGGTTCAAGGTGACTGAAGCAGAGATACAGTAAGAAGCAGAGATACAAAGGCAACTGTAAACCAGCTCCACAGGCGATCCCTTCAGGAAACACACAGCCAGGCAGACGAGTATCGAGCCAACTCCCATGTCAGAGGATGACGGTCACAGGCGGTCACAGTCAGAGAAACAGGACTACACTGAAAACAGGCCATCAGGAACATCTATAAAGAAAGATGTTGATTGCAGCAGCACAGCTGATATTTCTCTCCAGGATGGCGTCACAGCCAAACAAGACCAGGCCAGATGAAGCTACTATGAGAAAAAAAAAGCAGAGAGAGCATAATGTTAGAGATTGAACTAACACATTCTACAGAGGGGGAGAGTAGAGATAGAATGAAGAAGAATGATGAAAAAGGGATCCCTATTTTCTCCAGCAGTCTAAGCTTATAGCAGCATAAAGACAGCTCAGGATAACCTGAGCCACTCTTACTATAAGCTTTATCAAAAAGGAAAGTTTTAAGCCTAGCCTTAACAGTAGACAGGGTGTCTGCCTCACGGACTAAAACTGGTAGTTGGTTCCACAGGAGAGGAGCCTGATAACTAAAAGATCTGCCTCCCATTCTACTTTTAGAAATTCTAGGAACCACTAGTAAACCTGCAGATTGAGAGCGAAGTGCTCTGTTAGGAACATAAAGAACAATCCGATCTCTGATATAAGATGGAGCTTGGCCATTTAAGGCTTTATATGTGAGAAGGAGGATTTTAAATTCTATTCTGGATTTAACAGGAAGCCAATGAAGAGAAGCCAGGATAGGAGAGATATGATCTCTCGTTTTAGTTTTCATCAGAAAGGATTTTGGAACAGCTGAAGGCTTTTAACTACAGTTTGTGGACTTCCTGGTAGTAAAGAATTACAATAATCCAGCCTTGAAGTAACAAATGCGTTGACTAATTTCTCAACATCACCCCTGGACAAGATATTTCTAATTTTTGCAATATTCCACAGATGAAAGAAGGACACCAATGAAAAATAACAACAAGAGCTTTTACTTCATTCTCTGAAATCAGTTTAATCCCATCCAAATGAAGTGACTGACTAATTAGCTTCTTTTTGAAAGACTCTGATCCAAAGACTATAACTTCTCTTTTGTCTGCATTCAGGAGCAGAAAGTTAAGAGTCATCCAGGTTTTATGTCTTCAAGACATGCCTGTAATCTATGTTATGGGTAATGGGTACTACAAGTATTGTATTGAACTCACCTTTGAAAATACTTAAAAGTAAATACATTTATAAGTATTCAAGTATTCAAAAATACTAATGAAATTGTCTAATATCAATACATTTCTGTGTAAGTTTTAGTTTAATTATCAGAAAGTACCATGAACCACCTGATGTATTAAAGCGTAAAGCCATTTTGCTACAGATTCTACACCACTTGTAAAAAACTTCAGCATCAAAATACAACTGAAAATTCAGGACAGCTAATGTGATTATCATTAATTTAAAAACAAAGCACAAACAAAACTTCATCCTTCTCACACTCTCATTATGGAATAGAGGTTTATGGTTAAATCCACCACAAAGAACCCGCAACTCGTACTACTGAGCAACTTGGTCACATGGCAACAACTAACACCCTAATTAAAAGTATAAACTAAAAATAATATCTGCCCTGAGTTTCTCACATTTGTGGAACGTCATAAAATTTCTAAATTAGTGGTGTCCAAATTCTGTCCTAAGCGGCTGCCATCTTCCATGTTGAAATTGCATTTAAAAAGTAAGTAACTAGCAGTTTCCTTGGAATGGAGTGGAGTAGAAAGTACAATATTTGACTTATTTTGGGGGGCAACTTATAACATTCACTCCATTATATTTCGATTACTCATGTAAAATAAAGATAACAAAAATTACTTAAGTAAAGTAATCAAGTAAATTTACTTTTATGCTTTCCATTTTTTTAATCAAACCTGCCTCACATTCTTTTAAAAATGTGTGATAAACGCTGCAGCAAACAGTTTTATTTTAGGGAGACTTAAATTTGATCTACACGCTTTTCTTCTTCACAGACTATGTCCAGCAACACTGGAAGGATGACGACTTTTTTGGCTACCAGTTTTTGAATGGGGTCAATCCCATGTTGATAAGACGCTGCACCGTCTTACCAGACAACTTCCCTGTTACTGACAACATGGTATTCCCTGATTCTCAGTTCAGCTTGGCCGAAGAAATGGAGGTGACTGCACACACACAAAAAAAACATGGATATTTCTAAGAAAATTTGTGGCTGTTATGTTTGAATACAAATTTGACTTTAATGTTTGTAAATCCTTCTTAACATTTTAAACAGAAAGGCAACATATTCCTTTGTGACTACAAGCAAATGGATGGAGTGAAAGCTAGCACTATCAATGACAAGCAGCAGTACCTGATGGCTCCACTTGTTTTGCTCCATAAAACTCCAGATGATAAACTCATGCCTATCGCTATTCAGGTGAGATTAGCTTTTTTAATAGAGCCAATAATATAAATTAATTATTAAGATGTGAATGAAAAGCTTCCAGGCCAGCTTTTATGCTCCACTAATCTGGAACAAACAGCCTAAAGTGCTGAAACCCTAAACTGCTTTAACTCCAGATTAAAAACTTGTTTGGTTAGAGTGGGCTCTGTCAGTCTATCTAAACACTATTAATTGGGTTTATAGTCCAACATGATTTCATTTTATTGTCAACCATTATTTTCAAGTTAATTATTCATGTTTATTAATTACTCAGTTATCTTTATGCCACTGCAACAGGTTTTTCCCTATTACATTTATTTTATCATGTACAGCACTTTGAGCTGCCATCTTACCGAAATGTGGCATATAAACAAAGTTGCCTTGCAATTTATAAGCCAGAAGCCTCACGTTTGGCAGCGACAGGAGGAAGCCAAATAGCTGGAAGTAATATAAAAATAAACAAACAAGGCGCTTAAGTAGAAGATTGGAATGCAATCAAATCTGTACTAAGAGTTGGTTAAGTTTGTACATCAGTGCCTAAAACTATAGAATAAAATAGAATTAAACTCACACCTACAAAGGAACGAACTTCACTCTCTGCATTTAACCCATCCCTTTGGGGAGCAGTGAGCTGCCATTGTGCACCGCCTGGGGAGCAGTGTGGGGGTTAAGGGTCTTGCTCAGGGACCCAGAGTGGCAGTCCGTGGGACTTGAACTCAGAACCTCTGGGATCTAAGCGCAATGCCCTAACTACTAGGCCACCACTTCTCAGGCCAAGATTGAAGTAGTGCTACAAAAGTCTGCAGCTTGTCCATTTAAATTGTTCATCTTTTTGATTATCACATAATTTCATTTTAAATAGAATAAGTAATCAACCTTGTCTGTCTTGGTAAATGTGGCTCACAATTACAGCATATCTAACTTTTCTGTAAACCTGTTTTAGCTGAAGCAGAAACCAGCAGAAGACAACCCAATTTTCCTGCCATCAGATTCTGAGTACGACTGGTTGCTGGCAAAGATTTTTGTGAGAAGTGCAGATTTCAATGAGCATCAGCTAAATGTTCACCTGCTGCGTACTCACCTGCTAGCCGAGGTGTTTGCAGTGTCACTGTTGCGCAACGTGCCCATGGTTCACCCTCTCTACAAGGTAAGTGCAGGTCTGTGTGTGTGTCTACTGACAGATTCTCAGGATGAAACATGTACACAAACTGGATCCATTACTAAATTAATATTCCCCTCCTAAAGTTTTTGTTCCATGACACGTGTGCAAGCTGAAACATCTTTTTGTTGTTACTGTTTTTTCAGCTTCTCATACCTCACACCCGCTACACTCTACAGATCAACTCCTTAGCTCGGAAAACCCTAATATCTGAGGAGGGTGTTTTCACCAAAGTAGGAAAATATATAAAGAATTACTTTACTAATTAAATAATGATTTTTTTTTTACGTGTTTTATTATTCACTACACTTCACTTTATTAAATTAAATTGTTGTTTTAAATATAAATGTAACATTTCTCCAGTTTTCAGCTTCTGGTGGCGATGGTATGATCACTATTCTAAGGAGATCTCTGACCTCAGTGACATACAGCTCCCTCTGTGTGCCTGAAGACATTGCTGAGCGTGGGCTAAAGGACATACCAAACTTCTACTACAGAGATGATGGACTCAGACTGTGGAATATTATCAACAGGTATTACTGGTGCTTCCATTTTGCATCTTACTTTGTGCTGCCCTGTCTGTTAAAGACAAACCAGATGGCTTATGTGATGCTAAAATGTTCACCCTTATCAGGATATGGTTTGTAGGCTATGCCTTTATATCACTAAAATAGGTCCTTTTTTATTGCCTTTGATCCGCACACTATCTTTTAATATGGCAGAAAAAAGCAAATCCTTTTTTCCCCCTCCGGTTGATTGCAAACATTCATGTGTGCACAGAACAGTATGGTTGAATACATTCTGAAGAAGCATAGAAAATGTTATTGCAACACCAGATAGGTAGTTATGTGCTAAGCTAAATAAAACTTTGCTTAAAATAAAAAAAAAAGGCTTCAAATCTCAAGCAAAGCTTTTTCAAAACTTTTTTTTAATGTAAATTAAGAAAAGCTGCTCTAATACTCATTTAAAATTTTCTGTGTTATTTACAGTCATTATGCTAACATAAATACATTGTAATAATAAAAAATATGTTATATTAAAAAATATGTTATATTAACATATAACTGGTTTACTTTTTTTATTAAAAAGTAAACCAGTGGCGGCAGCTGGCGTTTTCTCTGGGGGGGAGGGGCCTTAAAATTCAAAATAGTCCATCAAACACATACCAAGTTACCATCCTAACATATTTATATGAATGCAGACAACAAAAATATAATATGATGTACAGGTTTACTTTGTGTTTTGCATGGTCCAATCTTATGTCACAAACCTAAAAAAAAAAAAAGTACCGGTTTAATAATGGAGAAGATAGATAGAGCGGGGACTATATAGTGAACTCAGTTAATTGACCGTTCAGAGAGATGATCACTACTTTCCGCTCCCCGTTGGTCATGGGTCATCTTTGTTATTTATTACAGTACAACAAATCCCATGATGCTTTAGAAGGTAAGCGCTCTGCGCTTACCAGTTGGGGTTAAATTACTTGTTGCCAGCTGAAAGATAATTATCCAATAATTATGCAGTAATTATCCAATAGGAGGCGTGTACCTATTTGCTTAGTTGAATCCAGGTGGCGACTTTTTATTTTGGCCAGGCAGTGTATATAGGGCTGATATTCGGACACAGCCTATAGCCAAAGATTTTTGCAGCCTATAGGACTGAAATATGTCACCAATCCGACAATGAACAAAACAGCTTTACTCATCAGTAAAGATTGAATATTGATCTTGAACCTTAAAAAATATATTAATATATTTTTTGAAATATTTTATTTTCTAATTTCATTTATATTTGTTTCTTTATGTTATAATCAAGGTCACTGGGTGGGTAGGGCGGCGCCCTAGCGTCTTCTATTGACTAGCCCTGAGCCCCCATTTTTCAAAAGTACTCTTAAAACAGACCTAATAAAATGATTACCCCTCTGTATGTGCAAAATGTTTAGCTTTGCTATGTCTCTTGTAAATGTACTTTACGAAAAGTTTTCTGTGTGTTTCAAAGATTTGTATGCGGTGTCCTAAGCCACTACTACAAGAGCGATCATGAAGTTAAGCAAGACTCTGAGCTACAACAATGGATTTTGGACATTTTTGAACATGGATTCCTTTCTCATCCTTGCAGAGGTATGTTTTGAAGAAAATATTTTTAGCTTAATGAGCAGATTGTAGAACTGTGTAATAGAAGCATAGGGGCTGCAAACTGTAGTGAAAACATTAGCTTGCATGTTCTCCCCATGCATGCATGGGTTGTCTCTGGGTACTCAGGCTTCCCCCTATCTAGATCAACAATCTATCTAAACAGCACTTAGGCATGAGTCTGAGTATATGGTTGTTTGTTCTGTGTGCCTCTGTAATGGAATGGTATCCTATATTGACTGTATGGCTGTGATGGAAGCATCAATTAAGCATTCAATATTTAAATGATTATTTTTTTTTCCCTCAGGAATTCCTCAGAAACTAAATACAGTGGATGAACTCATCAAGTTTGTCACCATGGTGATCTTCACTGGCTCAGCCCAGCATGCTGCAGTGAACACTGGGCAGGTAACGTTTTAGGATGAAAAAAGCTGATATTTAGATACAAATTGTGCATAAATGAATGATGGCAGTGAATTCAAACTCTTTAGTCACAACATGTCACAGGTTACGCATACATTAAGATTTTGAGGCACAGAGATCTAGAAGTCTACACATTGGTTTTAAGGGATATTGTGTCCATGTTGTTTAGATGTGTTTAATTATGTGGCAGGCCAAAGTGATGAGTATTATTAATCATAATTTTATTACCACAGGTTAGCATATCATGTAGATCTAAAGAGCCTCAAATGCTTAAGAAAAAAAAAACATTATTTTGTTCCATCTACAGTTGTTTAAGCAATACCCCCTGAATTCTGAGAATTCTCAGAGCTGTCCGAACAGATATAGTGACAACTGTGATCATTCTGCTTTGCCATTAATAGAGCTGTATTTTGAAAAATTCTCTATCGACGAAGGAATTAATAACATACTACATGCTCATTCAATTCTCTGGCTCTGCAGTATGACTATGGCGGTTGGATGCCAAACACTCCAATCTCCCTTAAACTTCCGCCACCAACCAAAAAAGGGGAAGCAACTGAGGAAACAATGCTGAAGACGCTGCCGGACGTCAACGTGACAGTTCAGGGCATGGCCACCATGTGGCTGCTCAGCCAGCAGTCAAGTGATTTTGTGAGTGTGTAGACTTCCATTAGCCAAACTATTCAGGTTTAAATGACATACTGTTTAGATCAATTAAACACAAGGTAATGTATTTAGAGCAAAGGTTTTCAACCCTGGTCCCCAGCAACCACAGTCCTGCACATTTTTAAACATTTATATTATTCCTAGAACATTTATATCAAATGGTTGCATTACCCGTTACGCAGCGTAGAAGGCTGACAGGCCTGTTCATCACTGTTCATTTAAGCCAGGTGTTGAGAGACAGAGAAAAACTTACAGGGCGGTGGTTCCTGAGGTACAGGGTCGAAGACCCCTCATTTAGAGTATTTATTACTTTGATAATTATGTCTCACGGGTAATGAAAACCAAAACTTACCCCAAATTTCTTTGAAGTTTTAACATATATGGGAAGTTTGATCTCTACGCTGCATCAATGCCAGGGCCAGCCCTAGCCTCCCATGGGCCCTTTGGAAATCTTAATTTTGGGGCCCTCTGTTTTGTCCAATAATCTGCTGCAATCAGCAGTTTAAATCAGTCACACACTCGACTTGTTTCCATCAACCTTTCTTTACGCGTACGTGTTTTAAAGTATCACATTAGAGTAGGTTGATGGAAAATGCAAAATCTTGCAAAACGCAAAATTAAGGACATTTTGAAAGAGAGTTTTTAACACTATCTTGAGAAAAAGCAATAATATGCTTACAATGGAGATGGAAACACATTTTTGATTTTGGTATGATATAGCAAATACTTGCCTCCCATGACTTAGCAGCCATTTTCCACCACCACTGGCATCCAGATGCAGCATTAGAATCCTACTTCTCTCACACGATATCTCCGGATGGCATAAACCATCATTAATATTCGCAATAAAATAAAAAAAGGAAAATTTGCCAAATTACAACACTGGTCAATCCCTGATCCGTGGTCAATCCTAGCTTGTTAACTCTAAGTACTGTTCACTACAGCCATGCTTAGCTTCAACGTATGACATTACCCTTTACATTACCTCATTAATTTGCTCTAGCGGATGGAAATGTCTAATCCAAATCTTTTCCCACATTTTAACAGTTCACTAAAAATGTGCATTAAACTCGAATGGAAACTCAGCTACTTATCATTAGCTCATTATAGCTCTGGCAGTACTGTTTAGAGTCTCCAATTTTTAGGCATAATCTACTGATAAAATCTTTTTATAATAAAGTAATTTTAAGTTTATTTACAGTGAAACTATCATGTCATTTATACATTTATGTTCCAAATATAACATGACAACATCGTTAAGCAATCTGACACATAACTTTGTTGTTAATACCAATCACTGCCAGCCTGCTCAATTATTGTTCTGCCATGAAAGATCTGTTAGGTCTTTATTAATTAGAGTTTAGAAAGCTCCGCTCCACAGATGCAACAGTTACAGGGAGGGTGCAGGCCATCCTCAGAACTACCCAAAGATTTTGGTAGAATTCAGATCTTATTCTGAGAGATGTAAAGGAATAAATCAGGGCATCTGGAAAGTTTCCTGTCTCTGGAGCCAGTGCAAAATAGTCAATATCCGATTGTTCTCCAAAGATAAATTTGTATCAGATAAGTTTGCGTGTCAATCTGGCCCAAAGATCAATCTTGTTTTCTACATGTATAGGTAATGATTTTTTTAATGTAATGAAATTGGGTTCTTTATTATTATTTTTATATAGAAATTATTTTCTCTGCAATAAAATTCCAACTGTGCATTAATTTGTGGTAAAAATATATATACGGTACATTACATAGACATACTTTTTAGTAGGCTAATACAATTGTTTAGCACTTACACGTTCTATGCATTTTGACTTCATGGGAAATTTCTTTATGGGTTTTTATTACCTTTAAGCCATAATCAGAATGGTCAAAAAACATATAGTTGATTTATTCCTCTGCATCAATTTTATCTTAAAAATGTATGAGTTTCACTTTTCACATTGAATGGTCAGTAGTCTATATCTGACAAATATTTGCATGTAACTGGCAGAAAAACTAAGATTGTTCATTCATTTTTAATCAGGTACCTCTAGGCCAGTACCCAGAGGAGCATTTCAGTGAGGAGACTCCAAGGCAGATGATAAAGAAGTTTCAAAAGGAGCTGAAGGAGTTAAGTGCTGCCATCAAACAGAGAAACAAGGAGCTAAAAGTGCCGTACACTTACATGGATCCAGAGGAGGTAGAAAATAGTGTGGCTATTTAACAAAAGGAAAACAGTTTTTCTCTAAGCCTTCTTATAGAGGCACACAGTGGCTTTACTGCAAGGATCTTTAATATGCATTATGACGACTTTCCATTGGTACGTTAGGGAAAAAAATGACTTTTCATTATTTCATTATTTTTATTTTTGGTTAAAATTAACATTTTTCAAAGTAGATATTAAGTGAAATATTATCATCTGGAATGTATAAATATGAAACATATATCACTGTTTAGATTGTTTTTCTTTGCTGTTTAAAAGGACCAGCTGCCCGAAAGCATTTGACACTGTATTTTGAGACATGGCATGCATTAGGAAATTTTCCATAGAAAACTTACCTTCATGGCTTATATTTTTGTATTGTGTGAATAGATGAATATAGCATTCTATCAGAAAAAAAACAAACAAACTTTTTGTTTCACATTCACTCAAAAGAATTTATGTGTGTAATAGAATGATTGCTGTACAAATAAAAATGTTAATCAGAAAACATTCTTGTGTATTTCAAATATTTTACACGTCAGAGAGTAACGTGGAGCAGAGGTCACATTTCTTGATTTTTCTACAAGGTTTATGTATAAAGGGTATTCCGATTCAGAGCCAGAGCTGTTCCAAACAGTAGGCAAGGTTGAAAAGGATGGTGCAGTTTGATAGCTATGATAGTGGACAACGTTACAGCAAAATGAACAAAACAAAATTGGTACAGAGAATATTAAAATTACCTTTCACTCTACACTTCCCCCATGGCACTTCTGAACAAGCCAAGTGCAATGACCATATTAAACACTGAGGGCAATGAAATGACTGGCAAAGTTCTGGTGAATGTGAAAACAGTGCAGACAGCTAAACTTTAAAAAAAAGAACAAATTTTATCCTGGAAAGGAAGGTGTGGATGCTGTTCCTGTACTTCAGCTTTCAACACCATCATCCCACAGCATCTGATAGAAAAACTGGAACAGCTGGGCTTCAATACGCCCCTCTGCAATTGGCTGTTAGACTTCCTCACAACCACACCTCAAGCAATCCAGTCACACCACCTCACTGGTCAAAATGGCACAGAAGAGCATGACTTCCCACAGAGGATGAGGAGAGCCCACCTGCCCCCACCCATCCTCACCACCTTCTACAGAAGCACCATAGAGAGCGTTCTGACCAGCTGTCTCACTGTGTGGTGTGGAGGCTGCAGCGCCTTAGACTTCAATGATCTTCAATGATCCCTCACACCCCCACCATGGAGTGTTCTCCCTACTGCCCTCTGGAAAGAGGCTTCACAGCATTCGATGCAGGCCCAGCAGACTCTGAAACAGCTTTTTCCCCACCACCATCAGACTGCTGAACTATTGAAAAAAACTCTAAATCATGTCACAGAATCTGCATCTAACTGACAACACCAACACTGAATAATTGCACTATATATTTAATACTTTAAACTTCCTTATCAATGCATCTCTTTGCACTGTTTTTTTTTTCTCCGACACTGTTTACATTTGATCACTGTTGCACTTTAAGACATGGAAATGTCATTGGAGCTGTGCAAAATGGCTCTAATGACATCTCATTTTGTATACCCTCTGTTTATACAAAATGACAATAAAAGTTGTCTAAGAAATTGTGGTAAATTAGAATGTTACCTGATCAATGTAGAATGTACACTGGAAATACCGAAACCACCAGGCACTAACAACCAAAACACTACTCAGTTAGCTTAAATCCTGTTACATGAGATTCATGCAAACAAAGCAACCCAAATCCTTTTAAGGCTGTAACAATTATTACCGGCCAGGCATACACTGTACAATATTTTCAGTCGTACAGATTTTACAACGAAACCACAGGGTTTAAAAGTTCACAGCTCAAGATGCACGTTTTTCCACTGTACAGTAAGGCCTGATGCTCTGATGTGATCTACCTGCTCAAACTGCACGTCCAAAAACCACATGTCTGACTCCCCTCTGAGAGATGGTTGCCAGAGGGGAAGAAGAGCTTTGTTGTTTGCACATGTATAGTGCGGGAGGTTCAGGTAAATCGGCTTGCAGACGCTCGTAGCTCTCCCAAATTTATGAATTCTGAGCAGGTGGTTGTGAAAGGCTGATCTCTCCTCGTTACTACCCGTATACTACACAACGCAGGCACAACGCAGGATGCTCGATGAGGCTGAAACACGGCCCGATACAAAAATTCTTGCACAAATAGACAATCGGCCCGAAAAAGGCAAAAAAAATCGTACAGTGTATGGCCGCCTTAACCTATACAGTTGACTACTGCACCACTCTACCTATGTCAGGTGTTCCACAATGAAATATATTAGGTTTATTATTTGTGAGAAATATCAACAGTTTGTTTAGAAAAGATGAATTAATCATTATTTTATTGAATCTCAAACAAATACACTGGCCATAGGTTAACTTTGCAATGAAAATAATTAGCAGAAATATTTTTCTACAAACAAAATATCAGAAAAAGTTCAATAGTCCAGTAAATTCTAAATTAAATCACATTAAAACTGACATATTGAAAAATTATTCCATGAATTTTGTTAACTAACATTTCCTTAATTTCATCATGAAACGTATTTACAGTCCTTTTGTTTGTTCTATTCATGTGAAGTTGGTCAGTGGTTCAGATCTGAGGGGAAGGGACAGTGAGGAGTCCTGTGGGCTTCAGCTTGCTGATTCCTCCATCCAAAATGCAAACACGTGAAACATTCACTTTAACCAGATGTGCGGAAAACTGGGAAAACAGAAAACGCATGTAAAATACACAATCGAAAAACGGCATGGACTAATTAACCGTAATAAGATGATTGATAACTAATACTGTATGTTTATTTATGATAAATAAAATCAATTATCAGACACCACCTTTATGTATGATTATACTATAATATTTCAGGCAGATTCAAATAGATGTTAAACAAAAATACAATTTTTAGACCAAATATTTCTTTGTCTTTTAGATTAAAGAATTGCAATGATTTCTTTAATGTCTGTCTGTGGTTTTACTTCATGTTTCCATATTTCTGTGGTTGTTTTCCCATATATTTTTAATCACAACACTTTCACTAAATTCATCGAATCACCCATTGGATGTAGGCTGACATTAATATCTAATCTATTCTATTTGTTATTTTGATGAATAAAACTGTAATGAGTTTCAATATTAATTTTCTCATATAAACAAAATTCCTCAGAAAACTGTTTTAAAATCTGACTCCAGATTTCAAAATGTGCATTATACTTTTCAGATTTTATTTTATAATGGCAGCCTCATTCATTCAGACCCAGGTGTGTAGTCATTTTACTGGCTCAGTTCTATTGACATACAAAAATACTTTACCTCAATCTCACATTATGTGAAATATATCATTATTTCTGTGAATATTTCATAAAGAATTTTTGCTGTTTTTGTGTAATTTTAAGAGACACCACAGACTTTGTGACCTAAAGAGTTGACACATATGAGTTATTTTAACTGATTCATCAGGCCAATATACAGTATCAATGCTATGAGCGGAGCTCCCCTCTTGAAATACCAACTATGTAAGTTGGTAGAATGCTCAGTAATTTGGCCAGGTCATGTGACCTGGAAGAACGTATTGCTTTACGGCAACAGGCTCTTATATAGTCATGGGGCTGAGGCTTTGGCTCTACTATTTTTCCGCCTGCTCGACTACTTGTCATGGCTGAGGCAAGGAAAAAGTTTAAACCTTCTTAGGAGGCTGAAAAGAGAAAACGTGAAAGGGATCGTGCAAAAGGAAAAACAAGAGTCATGGAAATTTGTTTATTCGTTGGTGCAGGCTGAAAGAAGAAGCTGGATGTAAAACTTTTCTCATCTTTATTATTAGACTGGTAGGTTAACACTCTGCTCCTAGTATACAGTCATATTTCTTTCTTTTTTTCTATGTTTAGTAGAAGCCAACAGGTCTAGTGCCCCTAGTGGTCAATGGTTACATGGTGGTTTTTGATAAAATAATTCTAATGTAAGAAAAGAAGAAAAAGCTGATAACTACTTTAATGTTTGTGGGAAATTCGCCTATAAAACAAACAGGACATATTTTATACAGTGGGTAAAATTATTTACTTATAAGAAGATATTTTACTGGGCAAAGAGAGTTAATTCTGGATTTTCTTCAAAATGCTTTTTGAAGAAACCTTTTTTTCCCCATACACACATTTAAAGCTTCAGTAACGGCTTTATACAAACAGACAAAGATTAGTTACGCTAACCAAGTTAAGTTTCACACAATGTAAAAAAAAGAAAAGAGCATAACCTTTTCCTAGTTTTTTCTCCCCTTATTTTCGGTGTGGCCTGTTTTTATTTATTTGAACTAAGGCACAGGCCTTAGTTCAAATAAATAAAATCTTTCTCAAAATCTTTCTCTATCAAAACTTCTTCTCAAACAAGGTTATGGTTAACATTAACCTGAAAAATGAGCGATACTGTGCAAAAAAAGCAACGTGTTGATGCTCTGACTTCAGGTAGTTATCATGATTAAACTTTACAATGATGCATGGAAAACAGTACAATACTTTTTCAGTAAATTAATGAATGCTGCTGTATTTTTATATATAAAAGCAAACTGCATTATAATTGTAAATTTATAGGACATGTATTGTAAAGCTAACAAAACATAAAGAAAGGTCATATTTTAGGATTTAGTTATTAAATACTGTTTTAATCTGTTGTAATGTGTAAAGATGTGTGTGAAGCTGACTCTCTCACCAAAGCAGCACTCTTTATAGCATGGCTGATGATCACAATGACCCGCCCTTTGTAGTTCTGGAGAACTCCTGCAGCAGGACACTGCACTAGTTCACCATCAGGACCGAACACGCTGTTAAAGGGAATGTTGATGCTGCCAGAAATATGTCCCCTACCAAAGCTGGATTCCAGGGAGTTAAGGAGCACAGAGTCTGGCAGATGTGCCAAGGCAATGATGCTTGGTGAAGGTTTTTATTTTTTCACAGAGACTAACAAGGAATTTTCTGAGAGCTGCTTTGTTCTTTAGCAACATAAAAAATGCATTGTAGAAAAGAATAATGTAGAGAAAAGACATTTTAGAGAAAATGAAATCAGGACATAAAGGACAAAGAATAGAGGATTCGGAAGGTATAAACAATGATCCAGGCCCTGGGTAATCTACTTCTGTTATGCTATTCCCTCTCTATCTCAAACGGCTGCGTTTGATTGGGTACCTTTGTCAAGAGGCTCACTGCATACGGCAATATTTGAACACATAACTAAAACAGATTCTCCCTACACAATCTGTGCCTTTTTAAAACTCTACCAGGAAGTCTTAGAATTTAGGGTGACTTACAGACAATAAAAACATCTTTGAATGGATTTCATCCACTGTCCCGGATAATTTAGTCATTCGCCTGCCTACACATACCGGTACCTTACTCAAATAAATAAGTGATTAACAGGCCCTTGCAGTGCTTGGAGGCAGTTAAAGAGGGAATGCAATTAACTGATTCAGGTTTGCAGGTTTAGAAATGCATCTAAAACCTGCAGAAGTAATTGTGAAGTTTTGGTTAAGAGATGGCTCTTGTCATTCGATCAGAAAAAGAGATTGAGGTAATTTTTCTACATTAAAGGTGCTCTGTGAATCACAGGAGGAGACAATTAACTTTTAAAAATATTTCCCCGTACAGTGAGGATAAGGCTGGAAGCCTTATTTTGTCAAATGTCTGAAAAAATGTTAATTTTGAAAAGGCAGAAAAGGAGGGTAGACTAAATCAAACGATATGCATTAATTTCTACATGCATGGACTGCAGAGAAATACACTGTTATCAGAATGTACTGTTACCTGGTTCACTAACCTAAAAAATAATGGCATATATTCTTAGACCAGAATCCTAGCATGCAATGGAAATAGACCCAACAACATCGCAAGTAATTATAGTGTGACTGTGTTTGACACAAGGGTTTCAGTTGAAAGGTTTAACTGGCTTCTTCTGTGAAGAGATGCTCACAAGCATAACAGACGAGGGACTTAACTCCTATTTGTAGGACTTTGTTTCTCCTCATCTCTCCAAGACCTTCACTTTCAACATAGTAAAACGTATCAGTATACTAGCTTACGCTTTTGTCAGGTAATTTAAGATCCGATAAGCTAAAAAAATGGCTTAAACACATCAGGAGGCAAGATACTCATTAAATGGTAAGGATACTCTTCCACATTCCGAATGTCGACAGCAACAATTTTCGGCTTGCTGCTTTTATGTCTCTTGGAGGGTCCAGCGAGTGAGAGTTCACAGAGGTCGATTAAATCCTCAGCTGAGATTCTGGGAGACACTTCAGCTTTCAGGTCACACAGCGCCAGAGGCTCTCGGGACTAAAGGAGAGGAGGCCACAGAAAGACAGATGAAGCAGGAGAACATTTCTGGACCTCATAATTATTTAGAAATGACTGCCAGTTTGGTTACTGTTATTATAAGAGCAAAAATCAACTACTACAACTACACCTCAAGGGCTCTCATGTTTAACCTGTAAAACCTTAGAAAATAAAAGTAGTCCATTAAGGCTCTGATTGGGGCTGGGTATTGATTGAAATTTCAAGAATCGCTTACCGGTATATTCCAATTGTCAAAATTTAGAAATAATTATTTTAGATCCAATCTAAAATTGGATTTCTGTTTTTAAAAATACATTTTATTGAATTAAATTCAGCTTTATTACATGAATGTGTAGTTATGTAATTCATATTAAAGTATTATATTAACATATTAAAACAAATTAATACATTTATGGTAGTTAACAGTGGCTGTAAGGGCAGTGGAAAATACATTTTTTTTATTGATCCATATATATATATATATATATATATATATATATTGACCTTTAAACATTAACATGAGAATCGATAAAG